AGGAACCTGGTGGAGAATTTCCTACCGGTTTGGCTCCTGCAGGAGGATTTACATGTGGGGATTTGAGATTGTAGAATACCGGATTTGTCTGTGAGAGGGATTTGGTCTTTCGTGTGGGACAAAACTGATTTGAGGTTGTTATTTGCTTTAAAAAGACAGCTACTCAAATAGAAAATCATCTCCTAACTCCTAATCGATAAGTACTTCTTTAACATGGCGTATTGATATTCCCTAGACACTGAAACTGGAATACCTACCAATATATTATAGATTTCATATCAACGAATCAAGTTTTTCTTAACTAAATCATTCATATCTTTTGTATTAGAAACAGTAGACGCTCCTTTTTTATGTCTTCAGTTACTTTTGACTAGATTATTGTACTGTCGCCAGTGGTGGGTATCTATTGTGCTAAGGGAAACATTCGTGAAAAATGAATTTCTCTCCCTTGAGTGGCACAGTGCTACTTTTCGCACTGTGTAGCTATTTTCAAGAATTGTCTAGTCATCAAGGCAAATCCTAGACATTCAGTGGATTTGGGGCGATTACTAATATATTTCCAGGCGTGACGAGGTGGAGCGTTTACTTATAGAAAAGCTTTCTATATTCATTAGCGCTACATCGTGACCAGACTATTTACATTGCGAATATCAAAAAAGAATTGAAACATTGGTATTAGGTTTGCAAGGCAGTGTTTTAATTATAGCTGTCTGTAATTTATGTGAACAGAGAAACCATCCTCGTAGGTCTGCACTTTGGACCCAATTTCTAAAAGCACATTTTGGAAGATGTAATTTGATGCTTATAAATAGTCAAGCAGATTGAGAAAAAAAAACTATTGGCAAGTTTAATTTATTCAATTAACCGATAACCACTCCTCAAATCCATAACAATGTTATTAAAGTTGTTTCCACACGAGTCGACCAATCGCAAATCAATAAGTTAATTACAAGAGATACAATTTATGCTTTAGTTACACTTTCAACTTAACATAAGTTTTAGCTCGACTCCAGTAACTAACAGGATATTGTCAAGTGCAGACCAATCTTGCTTAGGACGAGGTCGTACATTGCACACGAATATTAAAGTATAATTTATACAAAAAAGTATACTTGTGACATGTCCTTATTCTGATCTCACCTTTACACACATAAAAGACAACCATGATCAATGTAGGTAGTTATAAACTATAGACCAGAGGCTAAATTAATTATTTATATCAAAGTTGTAAAGTTAAATTGCGCAATTGAGAAGAGTGTTTCATCTTTGACTTTGTTTGACCTTAATTGCTTTTAGCGCAGTAAAAAAAAATTAATGCGGAATTGCACCAACCTGTTCATATCTACATTACAGTTGTCAGCTCTCACTGCAACCCTCAAAATTGTAACGGGATGGCGCACTCATAAGATAATTATAAAGTTCTGGAGGTTGCCCCAATGCCTCAATTTCTAAAAATTTTTGGAGCTGAGAAGGATCCATGGAATTTCAACATGGGGTTCTGTAGCAACGAAAAAGTTAAGTTTTCAAAGCTCAGAGCTTTCAACTAAAAACTCATCCTGTGGGCTGCATAATTAAAATTAACATTTAACACGGGCTCTCTGACTTGACTTTATTGCATTGAAGGATTAAATTACGAGGTTATGTTCGTTTCAGATTTAACCCGCGCAACCAATGACATTCATTGTTTTAAAATCTATTGTATGACGCAGATTCGTAGCTACTGAACCCTGTTCTTAAAATTTAACCTCGGTCGAGATAAAAAGAAAAGTTTGATAGTCCTTCAGCACTTCTCGACCGGTCGACTTTTTATCTCGAACAGTCGACTATTTATCCCGACCGCTCGACATTGTATCTCGACCGGTCGAATTTTGACTGATGCTAAAGCGTTTTCCCTTTGCTAAAAAATTACGGAAGATCGTTTTCCATATTGTAACAAAATTCTCCGAAACAAAAAATCCACTTTTTGCTCGCCCTATTTTTACTGCCACCTTCTCTAGAGACAGATTTCTTCAGTTATTGTCATTCGTGAGGTTTGACGATGTTCTTACTAGAATGCAAAGAAGAGAATCAGATAAAATGGCAGCTATTAGACATGTCTTTGACTGTTTTGTGAATAACATCAGGCAATGTTTTATCCAAGTAGCCACCTTACAATAGATGAGCAACTTGTGGCTTATAGAGGGAAGTGTCCTTTCAAGGTGTACATGAAGTCAAAACCCGCGAGATATGGGATAACAATTTGGGCAATGGCTGACGTGAAGTCATCATACGTAATGAACATGCAAGTGTACACTGGGAAGGAAGGTAACAGACCACAAAAAGATCAAGGAAAAGTTCTTGATCTAGTAAATTGTTTGAAAACTGGATACGGAATAACTACAGACAACTTTTTTACTAGTGTACCTTTGGCTCAAGAATTACCACTGGAAAGCATTTCTCAGTAGCTTTCCAACGATGTGTCACAAGTATATGGGGGTTGCCATTTAGGATCTTTAAATCTCATAACGTCATTTTGGTTCCCCCTCGATACTCCCGAAACGGTTTTGCGCGATTTTCAATATCTTCTTTAGTTTGAAAAATATGGCCGACTGCAAGTTTTAAAATTGACCCCCCCCCCCCGTATAATCACACTCTTGTTTAAGGTGGCGTTTACAAAAAGTGCAAAAGTTGCCTTGCGATATCCTCAATAACGTTGTTTCGAGGTAAAAAAAATAAACTGTTAACGACCGATGGTTGCTAAGGGTTTAAGCTTGTGAATGAAGTCAAATTTGATAACAAATTATTATCAGTGTGTGATAAAAATGAAAGATATATATTTTATATGGGAGTTTTTTAACAACTTATTTCCTAAATAACGGCGGAACAGTATTATAATATATTTGAATGAAAGCTATTTCAACCAAAAATTTGTACCCAGAAGGCAGTTATTGTGGAAACAAGTTTCCAATTTTTCAATGTAAACGCCACCTTAAACACTTACGTATGTACATTTCAAATACATAGTACGTGATGCGCTTGATTTACCGACGTACATCTCACGTACAATGATACAATTTTCTGATAACATTCCCATTCCGAAACTCCGCTAAAGTCGTAAAATTATTTAAATTTTCGCACATTGTTTCCAACGGTCTCTTTTTCTATATTCTAGTATTTAGTCCCTTTACATTCTGGAAATATCTTTATAAGTCAACGTCTTATTCACAATTCACTGCTTATCTGTAAAATCCCCGTTTTGATTAAAGCGTACACTAACCACACCATATCGTTGTGCACCACCATGGGGCGGCACGCCCATTAGTATCAAAATATTATCCGTTTGTTCAAATTCTTCCGATTCTTATTAACTTATTTGAATTCTATGACCTTGTCTAATCATTGTAATTGGTTAGTTTCTCCAAATCCAAAGAATACTAGTTTTATCTTAAGAACTATTGTTCTACTTTTTTCGCTATTTGGTTCGTTATGGTGTCGAGACTTGCACCAAGGAAGGAATTTTTTCTGCGTTTATTGCTAAAAAAGTTATTGTAAAAAATCCAAAGAATCGTTCTATACATGTTCCATAATTTTACACTTTTGCCGTTTATTAACGATCCTAGAGATCGTTTATAATTTTGTATTTGCTGTCTGTCGTCTGTCTGTTGGTCTGTCCGACTGTTCCTTTGTCTGTCTGTCCATCTATCTCTCCGTGTAAACGATAACTTTGTTTAGTAATGTTCGATCGCTTTTACATCTCCGTTAGTTATGAACTGAATTGCATGAAATTCAATATGGGCATAGCTTTAGCCATATAATACGCAATGCCAAAAGTTGAGTCGAATCGATTCAAAATTCACAGTGCCCTTTTCGCATCTCGACCATTTATAAACCAAACTGCAAACTTTTTTATTTATAAAAGTATTTCAATGAAATTTGATACATAGGCACTTGGAATAAATGAAAATCTAACGCCAGTTTCAAAATTTGGTTTTGTGCATGCGCAGTGCCAACTTTTTTATTTATGGAAGCATTTAAATGAAATTTGATGCCTAGGCGCTTGGAACAAAGGAAAATCTAACGTTAGTTTCAAAATTTAGATTTGCGCATGCGCATTTCCAACTTTCTTATTTAGAAAAGCATTGAAATGAAATTCTTCTTATAAACAGAAATTAAAGTAGCACGTCAAAAATGGATTGCAACGCTATCTTTCATTATTCTGACCGGATTTTTACGATTTTAACAGAAGTTGCATTTTACAATGGGAAATGAATACAAGTGGAAATGCGCTTTTTGTAAATCGTGTACAATTACTTTATAAGTTGTTTAATATTCTAAAGGTTCATTAGATGATTGAGTCACTTTTAAGTGCTTTGAATTCTTCGCATTCTTCAGCGTAATGGAATTATTCCAATCCTTCCATTTTTTTAAAGAATTGACTATGTCTTGAATTTAGTCACAAATTCATTGTAAATTGCTATTTTTAATTAAAAATAGTATTATTGCAATTCGGAAAGTGTTGTTAATTGGTAGTTTTAAAGTTTAATTGTCTGTCGAGTGGTAAACATTGTAACACAAAAGATGATTTTATATAGTAGGCATAATTCGTCGCCTAGGCATTATAAAACGCGGTAAAATGAATGCGTTAGTGCTCGTATTTTACAATCTGCCGGTTGCTCTTCCAGCTCTTAGTAAGTGACTGAATTCATTTTAGTCATTTCGTAAATGACTAAATATTGAATTGCGTGATTGTCGTAAGCATTATGTAAAATCCATCACTTTATAAAATGCCTAGGCAGTTTATAAAACGCGGGCAAACTCATAGACAATGTGGTTTGCTTATGGGCAAACTGTAGAACAGTGTACTTTCTAAGACGAAGCGATTTAGTTCCCTTCCCCTTCGAAATCCATAAACGGTATCCCTTATCTATTTCGCTGTACCTATTATTGTCTTTAAAGACTGAAAAAGTTGTTGAGAGTACTTACCTCCTTTTTGAGTGTAATAGTGATATTTTTTGTTCCAGTCATATCATCTTACCTCCTTGGTATATGAATCCCGGCTGAATTATGGATTACAACAGATAAACAAACGAGAAAGAGTCACATTGCAGAATGAAGCCGACCACATTTTATATTGTCGCAACTCTGTCGTCTCTACTCGTCATCAGCTGCAGTTTTGTGAAGCGCGAGCCAAGTAACAAGTTGAACTCTTGTCTTAAACGTGTGATTGAAAACTTTTACGGTAACGATGATGTGCTTTATTTCGCACACGTTGATAATTTTTATGATGATATACCATTCGACGTACCTAATCCAAAAGTGATACTCAACTTTGATCATCCCGGAGTACTGGATTTTGAAAAAAGGGTCGCCAAAAATTTTGTGGCTGCTTGGGATTATGACCGCAGGCCCCATATTTTTGATTTAATAAGTTGGAATTTCCGTTGGAACCATGAAATAACCTCAAAAAAACATGTGGTTTTTATAAGGACTACGGATCAGTTAAATACTGTGTACCACTTATTATTATCATGGGCTTTGGTTTACACCGTTGTAGTATATTACAATGAGAAATATGACGACGATCCAATTATAATTTCCGCAAATCCAAATGGGCCTGAATGTAATTGTAAGCAGTGGCCACTACGCTTCTACCCGAATGAACCATGCGATGCAGGTATGAATTTGAATCGTTCCATTCCGCAGCGCCTCAGGAATTACAATCAATGCCCAATAGGCTATTTGGGTACGATTTTTAATACACGTACAGATAGAGTGTCATCGTGTGTTTCCGAAACACTTGATTCCGTAGGAAATGTGATCAATGCAAGAATATTACCAAATGAAACTGAAAACGGTAATTTCAAAGAACATATTAGCCTAAATTACAGAACACAAGCAACATATGGCGAGTACTTAAGCGGAGTGATCTTACAGTCAAAGCTCCTGTGGCTTGTACCACACCCAGAGCAAGTTGTTGGACTTCGCGTTTTTTCAAAGGTGTTTAAGTGGACAACCTGGTTGTTAATAGTATGCGCCTTTATTGCCACAGTCTCGACTTGGGCCATAATTCTGTTTCGCAAATCAAAATGTGAAGACCTGGTCAAAATTATCTTCGATGTACTCTCACTGACCATCTACGGGCTAATGAAGCCGATGCCTAAAGTGTCTCTGCTGCGCTTTGTCATTTTGATATATATTCTATCCTTCATTAATATACAAACCGCCTTTATTTGCAAGCTCATCCCTGTCCTAACAGTTCCAATCTACGAACGAAGTATCCAAACCTTGGAAGAATTATTGGAAGCGGGATATCAAATCTACACCGCCAAAGAGATTAAGGACGTGTATTTCAAACGCACTGAATCAAGTGACACCCTCTATTCAAATATTAAGGGAAATCTGCAAGCGTTTTGCGAAAAGGATTATGATGGCTGCTTGCGAATGTTAATGCTGTACAATAACATCTCCGTATTGGTGCCTGCGTACACTTTGGAAAATTGGCAAACAAACAACGGTTTTACTTTTCACCACGTTATTGTTAACGATAAGGTGGTTGAGAATATACAATTAACCTTCGTTTCGAGGTATAATCAATACATCATGGATTCGGCAAACATTGTGATAAAGCGACTTATTGAAGGCGGTTTCTATCTAAAAAGGGAACGAGACATTGACGAATATCATCGCAAGTCAGCGCAATTGAGAGAGCCGTCGAATGATCCAGTTGCGTTAAATTTATCCCACGTTTACGGTATCTTCATTATCTATGGTTTTGGTATTTCGATAGCCGTACTTGTATTTATTTTGGAACTTCTTGTTGGAAAGTTTTCAAAATTTAATTCGCCTACTCCTCATCATACATTTCTGTCATAAATTGTGCACAATTGACCACAAAGAAAGCAAAAAGTAATGCTTAATGGGCTCACTCGTCACAAATACGGTTCTCTGTAAGTCACCACATTTTAAAGTACACACATTGTTATCGTGTTAATAATGTCAAAATTCACAATTGTTTTGTATCACTTACAACTTATTTATTAAGGTAAATTTGTCGCCTTTTCACAAAGAAAGCAAAAAGTAATGCGCTAAACAGTGCAAAAATCATCGCATTTTACTGTAAACTGTTCAATTGAAACACCTTTACAGGTATAATCACTTTTAGGCGCACAATTTTGTCCAAAAAATGAACACCATTACTATTAATATACTCGCAAATTGTCCTCACGCTTGTGTGCTCAAAATGTCAAAATCCACAATTGTTTTGTATCACTTACAATTACATTGCTTATTTATTGAGGCAAACGCAAATTTGTAGCCTTTTTGTTCACATTTGGATTAGTGTGCATTTAGGTACTTTTCTACGAAAGTTACTTTTGTGTAGACACTTGTACTGGTTTAAGGGCACGCAGCAAATTTTGAGGAAAATTCAAATTTAAGAAATGATATACTCACAAAAACTTATATAGCAAATCCGTATCATAAATTTCACGGCGATTAACTCGGGGCCACTTTACTCATCAGCACACGATTATAAAATGAAAGCACGGAATTCAAACAAGGGTAAGTTCAGTACAAAAACAAAATCTTGATAACAAACATCAAACTGAAAATGTCCAACGAACACCGCTAGTACTTGAACTTAAAGTGCTATGGTACGAACAACCACGAAATACTAACTTTTTACTAGATTTGGCTCAGAAGTTCTACAATTAAATCTGTGTACTACCATTCAGCCTTATCGCATCATAATTTTAGCTGACACATCGCCCCGTATTTAATCCTAAATTAAGTTTATAAACAAATCACAACCCCGGAAATATTTAAATCAAGGCTAAGAGCCGTGGAATTGTTTTTTTGATAATTATAAACAAAACCAAAAGACTCTCTTTCGTTGTCAAGTCATAAGCTCTCTGGCTATATCATTGATGATATCACCGATACCGGAAGTGTGGAATTGCGCGTCGAGTTGGTGGAAC